ATAATAAAATGTTGTCCTCTTTCCTTCCAAAATTTTTACTATCATAGCATGAATTCCGACCGTCTAACTCTAGAGCAGTGGTTTTCAAAGTGGGTGCCGCGAAATTTTTAAATATTTACTTAATAAGCTTAAAATTACATAAATTAAAAAGGAATTAAAATAGGTAATTATAAAAAATGAATATTCGTTTTTTATTATAATTCTGTTTTTTAGTTTCTATTTTATTTATTTCTATGGTTCATAATTCGTTAATCAATCATATGCTGATATTGCATTACATCAGACTTTCTCAATCTTCTAATTTATATTTGGGGTGAATATACGGGGGTATGGGGAATGAAAACTTTTTGGTTTTGATCCGTAACCATCTTCAAGGTTGTTGAGGGTGTCAACATTTTAAAAGAGTGATAACAGCTTAAAAAAAATTTTTTTCGCATACACTGGCCAAAATGGCTTCAAAAACTCTACAAAAATGTTCATTACAATTTTTTTGTGAGTTCCTTTGTTTTTGAGAAGTTTTGAATTGAAAAGTTAAACTATATTTATTTTATTTTTCTAAATTTCATTTTTCTCTAAAAGTAAGCATCAGAGTGAAAAATGTCAATTACAAAAAAGGTGTGTCTTGATCAGGTCTACAAAAAAGGCTTCTACACTTTTTCCGTCGGGTTCAAAATAAAGGCGCTAGATGGCATTTTCTAAATGTTATACTATGGCCAAAGATAATTGCAATGACTATTAAAAGTAGTGGGAAAGTCAAGTCAGGAGTTTACCTGACAACTAGTTTTAAATGCTTTTGTTTAGAAATTTTTTTTGTAAAGACTTCTCATCCTTCATCTCTTTACTAACTGTAAAAAAGCAAAAAAATAATAATACTAGGGGTGCCACGAATTTTGTTTAATAATTTTAGTGGGTCGCCAGACAAAAAAGTTTCAGAAACACTGATCTAGAGTCTAGCGGACAGATTTTTTACTTACTACGTTTGTAACACATAGCTCGAATTAAAAGCAAAAAACTGTGAAAAAATTCCCTCGTGCGAGCAGACTGAACGTTTCAAAAAAATTTTTCACTGTACGAATACTTGTTGAAAATTGATATGCATCAAAGGTCAGATGTGAAAACCATTCAAGATGAGTCTGCTAACTTTGCCATCATAATAATGAAAGCTCTTCTCAGGAGCTAATAAAACACCCTTCCATGAAATTCGCCACCAAAATATTTGTTCATATACAGGGTGTCAAAAAGATTCCGTAATGGAAGGGACCAAAGAAACGTTTTTTTTTACAAATAAACTGGAAGTCTGTTTTGTTTAGGAACTACATCCCCAAAAGTACCACAATTTCCATTTCATTCTCATGTAGATGGATCGAATTATCGTATTTTCTTATTACAACGGAGAAATCGATAGATTTCTAATTACTCCGACTTGCGAAAACACGCCATAAGAAAAATACTTCACTTTCATGAACTGCCAGCGAGGCATTTTCCTAAAAAAAAATGGTCTTCATTCGATTTGTGCATGTGCGAAAACTTTTTGGGGGAGGTTCGAATTTTCTCATTTGACACCGTGTAAATGCTCTGGGTTTCCATGAAACAATATACGTAGCTTTTTCTGAAAGTGGTGTAAAAACACTGTTCATCAGTTCTATTGCTAAATACATAAACAGCGTATCGATCAAATTTAATGAAATTTTGTGATCCGAACAAGAATAATAAAATTGTAGTTTTTTTTTAATTTTTAAAAAGTAATTATAGATTTCATATTTTCACCTCCAGGCACCAAATTTCAAAGAGATCAGAATTTTTTTGATTACCACTATTTAGGGATCTCGGTTAGGAGTTTCGGAAATATTTTTACAATATCGGGAAATGCTCAAAAACATTGCGGAGCCGCAAGTTGCATTCTTTTATATGTTGTGGTTTTCGAGAAAAACATTAAAGAAACCCAAGTTTTGGAACTTTTGAGGGAATATGTGCCAAACAATCCATTGTGAACTACCAATTTATTTGTTTTAGTCCCCTCTATTTACAACTTTTTAACACGCCTTGTATATTTGCTCTTATAGATCGTCTCACGTAAAAAAGGAATCGGGAGAAAGTAGTGTAACCTCCCACTAAGTTTATTGTTCATCTCAATGTCGCTGTCCTTTGAATAAAGATAGGTATAAAACTGGTAATTATTCGGGCCGTTGGAACCACCATGTAGACTCCCAATGAATGAGCGAAGTGTTTATAACCGCATAGATGTTTATAATTTGAATGGTCAACTGTATAAGCATTCAAATTATAAACATCTATGCGGTTATAAACACTTCGCTCATTCTTTGGGAGTCTAGAGGGTGGTTCCAACGGCCCGAATAATTACCAGTTTTATACCTATCTTTATTCAAAGCACAGCGACATTGAGATGAACAATAAACTTAGTGGGAGGTTACACTACTTTCTCCCGATTCCTTTTTTACGTGAGACGATCTATAGGAGTGAGTGATAAAGAAACGAGAGTCGAAATCGTAGCTCTAATAAACCTCTCAGTGGATTCTTGGCACCTAACTGAATATTTGAAGCTCATCCCACACAGGGAGCGGGCGGCGCCGCGCCTCCTCTTCCCTCGTGGCGGAAAAATATACCGGCTATAATTTGCATGTAAATAAATGAGAGGGCACACAAAGAAATCGTGCCAAACCGTGGCCATCGTGGAGTTGTTTCGTTATCGAAAACCTCTGGAGAATACAGAAAAGAATTTTTCCCCTGGGGAAGTGCAATGCGCTCGCAGTGTGCAATGATAGGAGTGGAACATTTCTCTTAACGCGACCTTCGCTACCACTCGTTGATCTTCGGAAACTCATCAAACTTTTCCGGGTACATTTTAAAATATTGGAAACATGTCCGCTGGTCTTTAGTAAATTGGGAAATCAGGTGGTGAAACTCCCCGTATCTGTCGCTCTTCTCCTCCTCTTCCGATTCAATTAGACAAAATAAAAGCAAACCCTCATCTTCGGAACTGCTGGCGGCAACGGGCGGGAGGAGAGGAAACGGCGTTTCCAGTTTGCGACCTACAGTGAAATTTGTAACATGCCGGCCCGGTGCTCCCTATGCTAGCATTATGGGAAGTCACGTACGTCTGAGGAAAACCCTCTGACAAAACCCCAAACAGAGCAGTCGGCAGCAGGATTCGAACCCACAACCTCCCGAATAGCAGTCGGCAACGCAACCATTCCGCCACCGGCTTCGGTTTCATAAGAGAAAGGGGTACTTTCTTTTATATCTGATGTATTCGCGCCAATATTCAGGGTTATTGCAATTGAGCTAAACATTAAATATGGCAGTTATGGGTTAATTTTTTTGGAGGGCGAGCTCTCAAGAACGAATTTTCCGAAACAAGGTTCCTGGGGTGTGAATTTTTGGGGCGAGCCTTTCAGTCATGGCTAATTTCCGGAGGCTACTGTAATGAATACTTCATAGTCAACTATGGCAACCTTTGTTGAGCAGAAATACCCAATTTTTCATGTTATTTATGGTAACAATAAAAAGGTTTAATTAGTATATTGCATACCAAACGATAAGAGGTAGTCTCTTTAAAACGGAACCTCGCTCAGGGAATAACTGCCCCAAAGTCGCCTCCAAAAATGTGCACTTGCAATATAAGAGAAATGATGCAGCACCTTCAGAATTCATTCTGGAAATATTTAAATCTCCACCCTAAATGAATGACTCCCGTAATATTTTATAGTCGCTTCTGAGGATTCCTCATTGGAACACGTGCGCCAGAATAAATTCGCTTCAAAGGATTTTCCTTCGGAATAGAGAGTCACCATCAGAATATCCCATAAAAAATCTCGCCAAATTCACCTAATATTTGGTGGTTGGCAACCTGCACTAAACCCCTGCGCGCCATAAAACTGGTATTAGACTTAATTACTCTTACCTTTGTGGATAATTGTACATGTGTGGAGCTGAAGCACTGAAAAATCAGAAAAATATATAGTAATCGGGTAGTTAGCGCCTGAATGGGTGGGCAACCCCTACTCATATAGGCCCCAATTTACAGAGTTGAATCTGTTTGGAGCCGAAAATTTCGGGCGAAAGTGTTCTAGGGGTGATTATTCCAGTAACTAGATGAGGGTGAATTTATCTGACCTTACCAATTACCAACAGTAAAGAAAATTGCAGCTGTTCGTCGTCACAAAAAGATAAGTTTCATTCATATCGACTTTACCCCATCAGAAAATTCGGTGAAAAATTTGCCTCCATAGGTGTGCGCATGAAATTCTAATCCCGTTGAAAACAACCCAGGTAAATTACGTTGTCCTTGTAATACTCGGGGTGGCTTGCCCCACAAAAATTGTTCCCACTCTCGATCCACTTCTTTGTAGAAAATTATCCCCCACAAAAGTTCCCGAAAAAATGGACACGGACAATTACCTAGTGTTCATAAATATTGGACTCACGTATATTATTATTCCCATCCTCTCTGTGAAATCAAAATCAGTTTACCTCTTATGTAAAATCATCGTGCTAATATACTATACTGATGAATGGAAAAGCTTCTTAACAAAGATGTCATATTAGACCCCTATTATAGTACTAGACGATATTAAGTTATTGCCAAAAGTGCATTTTAATCTACCAGACACTGATATTAGGTAATATAGGTGCGGTTTTATTGCACATATACCTGTCAACTACAATAATAGATATTTCTAATCGCCGATATAAGAGCGGCTCCTTCAATATCGTAATTCAACCAAACCCTCGTTCATTCAATTCAAACAGTACTACAGCATGTTTCTAAAATTCAAGTTCATTCTCGAAATGCAAATGCTGAACGTGTATTATTGGCTCTTAACATGACATGAAAAATGGAAAAATTGCTCCCTCGGCTGCTTTCAATTACAATTTAAAATTTTACAAATGACTGTTAGCAGGTTTGAGCTGAAATCGATACGTCAAGCATGCTAATGAAAAAAACAAGGCGCATGCTAATTTTTGCGTTATTGTTTCAGGTCCGGTTCCGTTCCTCAGATCATCATCAGGTATGTATCTACGCTTCGCTAGGAGAAATCCGCGACCTACCGTAATTCCGTTCTGATTTTAATTGGAGGTGACTAAAATACCTTGGCACGGCTTATAGATCTAATTTTAAATCGCCGAACTTTGTGTGAAATAAACTGTTTGAGTGTGCCGACCTTGACCTGTACGGCCAATTACATATCGAGAAAGTTATCGAAACGTCGCTATACTATTCAGGTTTTTGAGAAGCTTCCGTATTCAGTAGTAGCAGGTGACATCGTAACATTCTTGCTCTATCGTGAACTACTTACCTATCAATGTAACAAATTCTTTAATTAAATGGGTAAATGTCGCGATCTGTAATGCTAACTGGTCGCGATTAATTTCGATGACGAGCTTCTACGTACAGTCGCATATGATTAAGTTGTACTATCCACATTTAATGCAGACTTAAATGGGTAACTCGTATGTTAACGAGCAAATGCCATTTTAGTAAATTCGTTTCACTTGCGATTTTAATTTGCGAGTAAAATCCAATTTGTGTTGCCCATTTATTTAACGCATAAATCTCGACGTGTCAATTTGTTATGGTTCGGCATTTTATTTATCTTATTGTATTGGAACTTAATTGCGAGATCTTCTTTTGTACGTGATAAGACCAGGAATAAATCAATAACCGTTTTACACCATTCACATAATTTCTAATTACGTTATTAACATAAAAAATTTGATTGTTATCTATAAAACGGAATGGGAATGTCTCAAAAAATGATCAAATGTCAGTTCCTTTTAGGCAGCGAACATACCGGCCAAGAGTTTTAAATCCTCTCCTTAAAAGAAATTGGAAAGCAAAGGTAATTACTCAGGATACCTATTCAAAACTGTATGGGTATTATGGGGGGGGGGGGGCAATCCAGGGCATTGTTACCTTCAATTACTTGTTCCCACTAACCCCATTGCGAAATTATAAATTGCACTACCATTTTAAATCTCCAAAAAGTGTTTTCCATTGCTAATACCAGAGTAGGTATAGATATTAATTGTATATATTTTATCAACAAAAGTGTGAGTGGTGATGCAAAATATATACATGTACGCTCACATTGGTTCCTCCTCTATTCCATTGCCTAAGTATTATTTGATATCATTAATAGAAACAAAATTATCGCTTATTGTAACAAATTAATCGCTCTGTACAATTATTGACAACTCTCAAAACATACATTTCATTAGCATAACGTAACCTGTACTTGCATTCTCCAAATATAATAATATATTATTATCAATCTGAACTTACTACAATAGTATATTGTGTAGTAAATCTTGAAATACGCAGTTTTTACGACTATGACGGAGACGAGTGCCATAATAGAAGAGTGCTAATCAAAAAAAAAAACCCTTGTACAATATATTTTACGACTGCTTCTGAAGAACACTTCTGTTAACATTGAACTCATGTTAATTAAAAATTAAACAATTGCAGTAATTTCGCCATGTCTCAGAGTATTTTCGCTATTTGAAAGCTTATAGCTTGATGTGCAACCATCAAAAATTAACTTTGGCATCCATCACGTTGTCGCCCAAAATCGGTCAAAATCGTTATTTTACAGCACCTGAGAATCCAAGGTATCGCGCGGTGCACTCGCACACACTACAGGGTGATTTTTTTAAATTTTCGATATAGAGATCCTGAAACTGTAAGAGATATAACGTCGCTTAAACGGGCAAAGATATGGTTAATGTTCCCTTTCAATGTTTCTTATAGTTCTATACAAATACCGAAGTTATGGCCAAAAACGCGAAATATGTTATTTTCGAAATTGAGCTGGCGTTGATATATTTTCATAGATATCAAGTAATACCAAACCCACAGTAATTTTTTCTCAGATTTCTGATGGTGCCAAAATAAAATTGTTATGACTTCTGGGTTTCGAATAAATCCAATCAACTTCCTTATTTTTTGTGGACGCCACATTGGATGTTTACCTCACTCAATAAAGAAGAAAACTTGGTATTTCATTTGGGAATAAACCTTAAAATTTTGCCTTGAGGTGTACAATGAATTTCTTACGGCAATCATTTCATAGCTTGCTTGAAATCATTTGTGAGTGACGCCAAAAGTAATTCGTTTATTGACTTTCACAGTTTCCATTAGAAATACATTGTAAAGTTCAAGCCAAACATTCAAGATTAACTTCCAAAGGAAAAAAGGAAAGTATTTGGTATCGACGTTTTTATAATTTTTCTCTTTCGAGTGTCACAATAGTCCAATATGGCGTCCATAAGAAAAAAGAGAGTTAATGTGATTTATTCGAAACCCACAAATCATAAAAAATTGTATTTTAGCACTATCAGAAAGCTGAAAAAAATTTGTTATAATTATTTTGTTATATCTTTTAGCGACTTTGTATCACTTACAGTTTACGAGATCCCCAAAGTGAAAATTTAAAAAAATATACATACAGAGTGAACATTTTGTTTGTGTGGAGCACTGGATATGTTGAAAACAACATTTTTTTAAAAGAAGATTCTTATTGTATCCAATATTAAACAAACTTTACTTTTACTATCAATCTACGGTCGCATTTATTTTAGAGGAACTGCTAGTTATCATTACATATTATTAAAGGGTATACTTTTTTGGATATAGTATAGCATAAAAAAGTTATTACATTACATAATCAAATTTAAGAGAGCAACTTAAATGTTGTCATATTACAAAAAGGTTCTTTTTTAGCAGTACCTCACGAAAAATAGTCTTTCCATTAAAAAAGTTACCCTCTTAGGTCTGTAGACGCACGCCACTGTAAATAATTTTTAAGCATTAGATTTATTTATAAATTTTTAATGATATGTGATACAATAAATTGGTTTGACATAACTAACAAAATTTAACGCTTTTTTTTCAACGCAAACTAGTGAAGAAATTATTAAATTAATTAGCACAACTATTTTCTTTATTTTGAGTTTTTCTCATTAAATTTGAGTATGTGATTATGTACTGTTTAAGAATATGTAACGAAAACTAGTAGTTTTCATTTAAAAAATATGCCCCCCGTCATCTTGTAGAAGTACGCCGCCACTGACCACAAATTTAAAGTGCGCAAATTTATAATTTTGGATGCCATAAAAAGTTTCTTTAAGAAATCATGTTTTGAAGATATATCCAGTGTTCCAGAAAACAATGGTCACCCTTCCACACCCCCTTCCAAGTTATTTTGGAATTTTACATTTTGTGCGTACACACCTTTCCTGTATATCTCTAAACTCATCGTATTGCAAGAGAGAGAGAGAGAGGACGGGGAGATTGGTTTTGTATGAATATCGGTGTAGCCTAATGTGACGTCTTTACCTTGCTCTCTTACGTCGGAGTCATAGCTTCGCCTTCTATCTTACTGACACATATAACGAGAAATAATGATTTTCACGGGATTGTAGTTTTTAGCGGATTTGAAGTTATTCTTATTGAAAATGCATACTATTAAAATCGTCGAAACTTGATTTTGGCTTATAAATGTCTCTACAAAAACGACGCCCAACGCGAAATGAGACATGTCGGCGACATAGGGGCACCATATATGACTAAATGTAAGCTTTTTTTTAAAAAACAAGTGGATTGTGAGTTTTACAAAAATGCTGATATTTTTACCGCTGTAATTCGAAACGTATTAGAAGTACAAAAAAATATTTACTAAAAAATGTGAGGAATTTGGTGTTCTTTAACTTTCACTTTTCCGTTTTTTCATAAAGTTAACCGCTGCGAAGTTATTTTGGAAAAACTGATCTTCTGCACTTTCTTTCAAGGTGGCGGCGCGAGGAGCCTCTCCCAAGGTCGAAAACATGGTTTTTGCTCGGACCTCAACAATTCAACAATATATAAAAACCGCATTTTTTTGCTAATAATGGAAGCGTAGCTCGAGGGGGGGCTAAACTTTTTTGTTTTTTTTTTTGTTTTCGAAAAAACTTTGTTGATGAACTGGATGGGGCAGTGAAACGGGTGATTTTAAAACAATGTCAAAAATTAAAAAAACGCTATCAAAAATTGTATTCGTGTCATCGCAATCTACATAAAAGGACCATAAAGGTGAAGTGTTGTCGGACGTTACTCATAGCCTTTGACCTTGAGGTGACCTCACAACAAAAAGTCTCATATGGTTGGATCAGGTGAACGAGGAGGCTATGCAATGATGGTTGTCGAGAGAAGGACGCCATATATCTTAAAACGTAATTTTTAAAAACGAGAAATGTAATTTAATTTTAAATTATTTTTAGCGCATATTTTCAAGAATTAAAAAAAAATGTGTTATTGTTTGCGTTTTGTCCGTCCGTCTGTCCGTCCAGATCCACTTCTGCGGTTTTGAACGAACTACTTTTAGGAGAATTGTCCTAGAGTACTGATGGACTTTTTTCAATACCCCAAAAGGGGGCTAGATACCGGCCATCAAATTTTGTTGTCTTATGTCTTTTGAAAACAAAACGTGCATAAGTTTTACATGCGACAGATTTTGCATTTGCATGGTGCCAAGTAAAACTTCTCAAAATGGTATTCGTGGTATTCTAAATAAAGTTCCCAAAAAAAGAGCTGTTTTCTGATTTTATCCTTCATGGTTATCTAGTGAAAGGTTTCGATGAAATGAATTAATTTCTACCAACCACAGTCCTCGTCCTCGACCTCTTATCGTGATCGGATATAATTCCTTATATCTCAAGAGCGGATTGTCGGAGGAGGGTATTCACAAAGGGAGTTTGGGACGTCTGGAATAAATATATCCATTGGTGATCTCAAAACTTTAAAAACGAAAATCTCGATAACGGTTTTTCGGAGGAGAATACTCACCATGGCAAAATGAATGATCTGGACGAGATCTATTGATAAAGTCGAAGCGAATATCTTGAAAACAAAGTGTCGGAAGAGGGTACTCATAAAGGGCAAATTTAACGTCAAGACTTACAGTGCAAGTATCTGCAGAACGAAGTGTCGGAGGAGAGTACTTGTAAATATCTCAAAAATGTTGGAGGAAAA